AATTTTCTGTAATCACAGTGCAAAAATCTGTAACAAACTGATCTGATTGGTGGAAAAACATTGTGATGATTAAATCAACCAATCAGTTTAAGGCAGTTTAGTTTTAAAGAAGTAACGGTCACAGATTGCTTCAAAACAAAACAAACATGGAGGCAGGTGTAAAAGTCGGACCGGATCGCAAGTCCGGGTCGGATTAGGTCGGACCAAGTCGGATCAGGTCGGATCTTTAGAAAATTTAGAAATATCAGGATATTCCGGGAAATGTTACTTACACAAATGGAAGTTTGCATCTTTCCCGCGTTATTTACACAGCATGGCAAATCGGAAAAATGATGAAGCGTGTATTTTCGTTTTGCCAATTTGGCACGGCCGGACTAGCGATTCGGTCATCAATGCGATCCAGTCCGACTTTTATACCTGCACGATCCGACCTAATCCGACGCGGACTGGCGATCCGGTCCGACTTTTATACCTGCACGATCCGACCTAATCCGACCCGGACTGGCAATCCGATCCGACTTTTACACCTGCCTCATTGGACGAGTCAAGCGACGAATGATGCATCTAGAACGATGACTTGTCTCTCGTGTAAATCAATAAGAAATGTGCGATTACTTTTTGTAGACTTCAACAATTTTTACGATATGGACAAAGCCCTCCACGAAGGCAAATTAGACCGATTACTGTTTCCTGATTACAAAGATCTTATCTGGTTGTTGGATAATGTTTATAAAGAAGCGAAAGAGATATATAAAATAGCCAAAGTGTTTGAATCGCCTTTTCAACTTGGAATGGTCCTGTCAATGGTCCCAGAATATATTAGCACCGACGATAAAGTATTTCTGAGGTGTTTAAGGACTGAAATTTCAGCTCGCGATAGAAAGGTAAGCTTATGATGATGGTGGTGATAATAGTTGTGATGATGGTGATCGATAGTGGTTTTATTGCTGATGATGATGATAATAATGGTGATGGTGATGATGATTATGATGATAGTGATGATGATAATAATGATGATGATGGTAGTGATGATGATAATGGTTATGATGATGATGGTAGTAATGATGGTGATGATAGTGATGATGATGATGGTATTGTTGATGATGATGATGATAATAATAATGGTGATGGTGGTGGTAATGATAGTGATGATGGTGATGACGGTGATAGTGGTGGTGATGATGGTGATTATAGTGATAGTGGTGATGATGGTGATAATGATAGTGATAATAGTGATGGTGGTGATTATGGTGTTGGTTATGGTAGTTGTGCTGATGATAATTATGGAATGTACACATGCTAATCCCTCATTTCGATTTTTCCTACCATAGTTGAAACGAGCGCTAGGGTATGGGTCAATAGCCTACCCTAAAGAAGATAAAGGTGATGGCACTACAGCTCTGAATCAAGACAACCTCCTGACTACAACATGCTATCTTTTAGCCGCCATAGCTGGTCTTGCTTGCTTTGGTATAGTTTGGGATCTGTGGAAGTACTACACAAAAAGGAAGACCGATAATTCAGGTTAGTTATGATGGCAATGATGATGGTGATATAATGGTGATGACGATGATGATGATGATAATGGTGATGACTGATGGTGATGATGTTGATGATGATGATGATGATGATGTTGATGATGATGATGATAATGATGATGATAATGATGATGATAATGATGATGATAGTGATGATGATTATGATGATGATGGTGATGATAATGATGTTGCCTGACTCACTCTCATTTTTCTCTAGAAGAAGTCGAGGACATCGAGCCAGGGAAAGAGAATGTTGCCATGACAGTGGAAAATGTAGAAAACAACTCAGCATGTCAAAGATGATGCGACATGGTTTTGAACAATTTTGGCTTAGACAAAATATTTTTACCCACATCCGCAAAAACTCGCAACATTGTACTCTCGTATATTTAGACTTATTGCAATGTTGTTTCAACATTGTCGTTTGCTTGTTTACACTTCACTATCCCAGTAGATATACCAATTTTTTCTGCATTTTTGCACCAAAGTTGTTACAAGTTGTTCGCACTACTGGGTCTTTTAAAAAGCTATTTCACCTGTTTTCTAGTATAAAATTGTATGAAATGTTTTGTTTTTATTAAATGATGCTGTAAAATATAGTGTATTTTAAACATTTGTAGGGAAAAAGCGGGACAAAAAATAGCGATTTGCGAGCATTCATTAATTTTCTTATAATCCGCCATTGCTGTATATTTTTAAACACGTCAGCATGTCGTCAGCATTTCGTCAGCAAATGAAAAGTAACGGTCGTCATTTTTTATTTTTCTGACTTTTGGAAAAAGGAAAGCGAATTTCAATATGTTTTGAAGACAAAAAGTTGAAATTACAGCTGTAAAGAATGGCTAAATACAGCACCTGTTTAGTTTTACAGCTGCTATTTATTTTGGCGTGTGTTTCGTCGTCTTACGCCGGTAATAACATGGGACCTGGATGCAGCTCATTGTCAGAGATCCAAATTAACTATAAAAACTACTTTGATATGTTCCTTGGTGATAACCCTATGCTGTTCGGCCTTACGGAAACCGGACTTTTCGTGAAAATGATGAGAGAGGCAGCCGAGCTATGCTGTTCTACTGCAAAGGTAACGTTTCAAAGAATACAACAAACGCCGATGGAAAATAAGGAAATTGAAGAGTTAGTGTTGGACGCCGTGAAGGCTAACCGCAACAATCCAAACGACGGCGTTTTACAGTTTTTCTTTCCAGAGTTTGCATACAAGAAATTGCTTCAGGTTTACGATACACAAACGCCGTTTATACGACTTTCTCGCTCGCCCGGACCTGCGCTGGTTAGGAACAAACCGAAGCCAAAAGATCCTGTGTTTGTGGGCGAAATATTCGTGAAATCATGGGCCATTATGGTTTTCTTGATTACCTTTGCTTGGGTAATTGGCATTTTGGTGTGGGTCTGTGTAAGTATCGAATGGTCTTTTTGTATCTTGCTTGTTTTTGTAAATTTTGTTTGAGTTTTCACAGGAAAAAGTCTTGAAAAACTCGTACTAAAATTACTTTATTAAAATATCAGACAGTTCTGACAACAATCTCGCTTTGTGCCACTGTACTAGATAGCGACGATAATATTATAAAGCCGCAGTAGATGTGACAGTATCCATTGAATAGCTATATATCTGTTCTCAAATTTATTTGAAATCACTTCAATTGGTTGTCAGTTCAGAAATTTGCAAAACATCGCGTTGTAGTATTTGTCCATTGTCAATTAATCATCCCAATTTGTTTTTGTTTTAGGACCATCATGTGAATCCAAAAGATTTTCCAAGTCCGTTTTACATTGGCATGATTGAAGGGTTTTGGTGGAGTGTTGTTACTATGACAACTGTAGGGTGAGTATAAAACTGTAAAAGCTAAGACAGTATTTAAATATTATAACATGATCCTACAAATTACATCACCAATTGACTGGTATCTCTTCTAGGTACGGTGACAAGACACCAAAGGGAGCAGTTGGAAGGGTCTTGGCTGTTCTGTGGATAATGATCTCAACAGTTTTCCTGTCTCTGTTCACCGCTAACGCCTCTTCCATCTTGGCAATAAGTCAGGCAGAAGAAGATATCTCTAGCACACTTGGAAAAACGGTAATTATGTATATATTGCTTGTTGACAAGGTCACAGAATAGGAAGGTATACCTTCCCGACTTGTTACAAGGTTGTTTCAACAAGCTAATATGACCTTGTGTTCACATTACTTCAATTTACTTGTTCCCAGCTTATTGACACGTTTATTTCACAATTTTAGATTGGTTGTTTTAACAGCAAGCACTTCTTTGATGTTGAACTGAATCTTGGCGCGCGCTGGGTTGGTAGGTGTTACAACAAAAATAGTTTAGAAAAATAGAATCACAAACAAATACAATCACGGCCCAACGTTTCGATACTCGAGTTTAATATTGTTCGTATTTTATTTGAGGATATGATAATTTGATAAGTATCATGGTCTCAAGCCAGACTGGACTGGTCGACCGTATTGTGTTCCCAAACTACTTGGATTGGCTTTACTTGAGAACGTTGCCGGAGAACGCTGTGATGAAGAAAGAATTTCAACTCACGAACACGCTGGATCACCCGTTTCAAATGGGAATGACTTACGCCGTGGACCCAAAGAACATGACAGCCTTGGAAGAAAGTTTTCTTAAGTGTCTGAGAAACGAATTGCCCACGCTTGAAAAGAAGGTAAAATAGACAGTTTATTGTAGAATACTACCTACACTGGACCACCACGTTTGAGATAACTTCTTCAGGTAGTTCAGACACAAACCACAACAGCTTATTGTAGAATACTACCTACACTGGACCACCACGTTTAAGATATCTTCTTCAGGTAGTTCAGACACAAACCACGACAGCTTATTGTAGAATACTACCTACACTGGACCACCATGTTTGAAATATCTTTTTCAGGTAGTTCAGACACAAACCACAACAGCTTATTGTAGAATACTACCTACACTGGACCACAACGTTTGAGATATCTTTTCAGGTAGTTCACACCTATACACTGAACCACCACGTTTGAATATTTTTTTTCAGATAGTTCACATACAAACCACGACATGTTAAATTGTACTTTTCAATATAGGAAATTTCTCATACAAAAAGGAGTTTATAAATATACGTGCTTTTTCACAAAAACCAATTATGGGAAAGAATACACCATTATTTCGATGATCAGATCATTCAATCCAATAATTAATACTATCGATTGCGTCCTTACTTCTTGTTTATTCAAGGCACGTCGTGAGACGTTCGACGCGTCCCAAATCAGTAGTGATGAGGAAGAGAAAGAAGAAAAAGTACCTTTGGATAGCGACGCTCTGTTGACGTTGACGTATTGGTTTTTTGTCATTATTGCTTGCTTGATTGCGGTTGGGCTCTCCTGGGATCTGTGGATGTATTGGAAGGAAAATATTCATGCCCATCATGGCTCGGAGCAACAAGGTATATTTGCGGTCGCTCTCATGCCAATCGACTTACAATCACTTCTGGCAGTTTAGATACAAACCACGACAGCTTATTGTAGAATACTACCTACACTGAACCACCACGTTTGAGATATCTTTTTCAGATAGTTCACACACAAACCGCAACAGCTTATTGTAGAATACTACCTACACTGGACCACCACGTTTGAGATATCTTTCTCAGGTAGTTCAGACACAAACCATGACAGCTTATTGTAGAATACTACCTACACTGGACCACCACGTTTGAGATATCTTTTTCAGATAGTTCACACACAAACCACAACAGCTTATTGTAGAGTACTAGCTACACTAGACCACCACGTTTGAGATATCTTCTTCAGGTAGTTCAGACACAAACCACGACAGCTTAGTAGAATACTACCTACGCTGGACCACCACGTTTGAGATATCTTTTTCAGATAGTTCAGACACAAACCACGGCAGCTTATTGTAGAATACTACCTACACTAGACCACCACGTTTGAGATATCTTTTTCAGATAGTTCACACACAAACCACAACAGCTTATTGTAGAATACTACCTACACTAGACCACCACGTTTGAGATATCTTCTTCAGGTAGTTCGGACACAAACCACGACAGCTTATTGTAGCATACTACCTACGCTGGACCACCACGTTTGAGATATCTTTCTCAGGTAGTTCAGACACAAACCACGACAGCTTAATCAGTTGAAAAAAGCATGTTTAACCTGCCCTAAATTTAACAGGCGATATTGAAATGGCTGAAGTTTCCAATACTGATATGGATGGTGGGGTTCAATCTGGAGGCTTGGACGAAGATGGTCTCTCAAATCAACCAGGATACGCGCCAGATATAGAGCCTCATGATATGTAGTTCTGCATTCATGCAACAGAGTTGCTACAATTAGCTTGTTCGCATTATTTATTGTGCGTTTATATGAAAACTTATTGGAAAATGTTTTATTCAAAACTAACAATTATGATTTATTTATGTACAGAATTTTTACATATTTGTAATTATGAGAATTAGAAAATTTATATCTGTATAAAATGTTGAAGAATTTTTATATTAAAATTTATAATTACCCACAAATTAACAGTTTTCATTAATTGTGTTATATGAGAATGATTGTATAGTTTGATGTCAGAGGGAGAAAATAATGTTAATTCTTTACATTTATATATGGAGGCAAATAACTAGATTTAAGGGCTGTTGTTTAATTCCCTTCCTCCTGTCAAAGCTTCTCATTGAGACCCATGCACCAATAAAGAAATTTAATTTGAGACAGTGATTCAATCTGTCATTTGAAAAGGAGGTCATATGGGGAGCCACAGCTCTGGAGAAAATCAAAAATGTGAAATATTTTGATAAATCACAGCAGTCCAAATGGGTAAAAATGCGTTCAAGATGGAGAGGGATGGATATTTATAAATACTCCTCTATAATTCATGTATTTCTTTTCTAAACAGCTCCTGTTAAATGCATCTTATAGTTTTCTGGGCAATATATTAAAGCAAGCCTAGATCGAAAAAAAGCCTGTCTAGTGTTTCTAGTAGGCCTGGAATAATTTATAGTAAATTTTGGAGAAAAACCGGTTAAGAAAGCAAGAAGGAAAACGCGAAATAGTTAAAATACGGTATATAATATATATACGTTTGGAAAAACTAATTTATTTTTGGTTTTTGAGCATCAAAAAGTTAAATAACGAATCAGATTATAATATACGAAAAGGCAGGTGAACTGTTGTGACCGTTATTTTGTGGATTTGAAAAACGTCAGCACGTCATTCAGGAAAACGTCTTCGTGCCTGACTCTCGTACAAGAAGACACGTTTGACTTAAATTTCATCATGTTTTGACGAAAAAACAACAGGTTTTTTCTCTAAAATGGCAACAAATACTTGTGCCTGTACAGTCTTGAAGCTACTGGTCATTTTAACGTTTGTTTCGTCGTCTTATGGAAATGCTATGGGACCTTCATGCAGTTCATTGAAAAAAGTTGAAATTCACCACAAGAAGTACTTTGATATCTACCTTGGTTTGCAGTATCGTACGTATACAGGGATTTTTTATGATATGATAAACAATGCAGTAAATCTTTGCTGCTCTACGTCGACAGTTGAATTTATCCCCATCGAGGAAGACGACAAAAGCGTTGAAGAGATACTGGTGGACACCGTTAAAGTAGATCGCGGAGGTCCGGAGGACGGCGTTTTGAAGCTATTCTTTCCCGAGTTTGCTGACAAAACGTCGCTGGATATTTACGATTCAACAACACCATTTATACGGCTTTCAAGATCGCCAGGGCATGCAGTAGTTATGGTTAAACCAGACCCAAAAGAACCCGTGTTTGTTGGTGAAATCATTGTGAAATCTTGGGCCATTTTGATTTTTCTCATCACCTTTGCATGGGTTATTGGCATTTTGGCGTGGATGAGTGTAACTTATTATTAATATTTAAATTAAAAAAACACCAAAAGTATTTCTATAAAATTGTTTACGCCTTACCATAGAGCAAAAGCGAATAAACTGCATGCCGCTTTATCGTTTTTAGAAAGTTAATTTGTCTTTTGTAACAGCGAAAATGATACCGTAGTCTATAAGCTGTTATTTTTAATACATATTTTTGAAAATCAAATCATTCAAATGCTATTTGAACCATTGTCATTGACTCATTGACGCTCAAAATAGCCATATATTTTCTATTTTTCCCCTGTCAAATCTTTAAGGATCCCCACTGATTTTATAAATGAATTAAAAACATAATCATATAGGCAAACAGTATTGCTGAATTTGATTTATTTTTTCTTGTACACGTATTAAATTCAGGGTTTTGCCAGAGTTTATGATAATTAACAATTATTGGATGAGGTTTTTGTGATATGCGGAATTATCAAGGTCGAGGTAAGCGTTATCAGCCGAGCCGAAGGCGAGGCTGATAACGCTTACCGAGACCTTGATAATTTTGCATATCGCAAAAACCGAATTCAATAATTGTTTTATTATACATTTGAAGAATAATAAACATAGTATTTTAATACTATATGATTCAATATGATTTCTGGCAAAGCTGTTCAGGTAAAACGTTTCTATAAACAAGTCTCCGGAAGTCCAACAGTTAAATTAATTCATTTGAAAATTGAAATGTGCACTCATTTGAAATGTACATGATGCACTCATTCAATTTCACGCAACCTACACAAAATTCAGTTATCTGCTAGCAGATAACTGAGTTATCTGCTAGCAGATTAAATGCAGATAACTCAATTTTGTGTAGGTTGCGTGATTGCGCGATTTAACTGTAAGCTCTTAGCCAATCAAATTGCTTTTACCAATTACAATGTATAATAAAACAAATTATTTGCACTTTTAGGACCATCGTGTGAATCCAAAAGATTTTCCAAATCCGTTTTACATTGGCATGTTTGAAGGATTTTGGTGGAGTGTTGTTACTATGACAACTGTAGGGTGAGTATTAAATGCATTTAGTATAATTACATAGGTGATTATTGAAAATTCTCCACGCTGATTGGCTGCCGTTGAGGTGATTATTACGCGATAATCACCTAAGCGATTTTCAAAATGGCGGCCGAAGCCTTTTTGTCAATTAAATGACGAAGAAATGAGTATTTTTTATTTTTTTCTAAATAATCACCTATGAAATTATACTAAAACAATTATTCACCTCAGGCTCGGTGATTATCGTGAATAAAAACCTCGACTTCGTCTCGGTTTTTATTCACCGATAATCACCTCGCCTTCGGCGAATAATTGTTAATTAATATACTGTTGTCAATGAACTATGAACCAACTACTTATAACCATGACTCATGAGCAAACTAATTACTGTTTCACCGTATAACCAGTAACAATTGTTCACTATCTATACTATAGCTATGGTGACAAAGCGCCCAAGGGAATTATTGCCCGGATCTTGGCAGTGTTGTGGATTATGATATCAACAGTTTTCCTCGCTCTTTTCACCGCTAACGCCACGTCCATCTTGGCAATAAGTCAGAAGGAAGAAGATTACAGTATCACACTTGGAAAGAGTGTAATTTTTTTATGTTTTTTGATAATCATTAATTCCCTAAGCATAGCCATAGGGTATAGTTCGTTCAATTCTCATAGTTCTTTCTGCTAATTCTGCTAGGTCGGTGTCCTCAACAGCAAGCACTTTGTAGAGGTGGAGTTGAATCTTGGATCTGTTGTTGTAGGTATGGTAATGAATGTTGAAAATTTTTGTCATAGTTTAGAGCCCTGCGATTCCGCTTCAGCCTTCAGCGCTCTGACTGACTGATCAGCGCTAACTAACTGATCTCGCATTTGGATTTGAAATATTGCGTCCTTGTATCCGAGGCTTCGCGCACCGAATTTGGACTATAACCCGGAAGGCAGACGATCACAACGCATTCTTTTTGGTGATTTTAGAGTACCACACCACGTTTGAATGGGCTGTGGCTGCAACAAAAGACAGCGATGTCGATCGGTTAATGTTTCCGAACTATATGGATTTCCTGCTTTTCGTAAAAGATGATACGTACAAAGGATTGTTGAAGAATGCGTTCGTTCTTACCAATGCCATAAAGTATCCCTTCCAAATTGGAATGGCATTCGCTGCAGAGAACGGCAATATGACAGTTGTTGAAGATCGCTTTCTTCAGTGCATGAGATACGAGTTACCTACGTTGGAAAGACAGGTAAAAATTGATGGTAAAAACACAGTCGTAAAAATGCAACTACATGTCTTGTGATAAGTCTCCGACTAAGCCCTATCGTGCAGCCGATCGTGGTCAACCCGCAGTTATCATTCAGAGTGAGAAAATAATGTTCATTCTTTTCATTATATGGAGTAGTCTTGGATTTGGAGGCGTACCAGCAAATAGAAGTGAGAGATTCTTGCTCTGATAAGTGTCAACATTTTTGTAGTTGAGCGCCACCGGCTGCCCTGTTACGCTGACTGGAACCTACCAATAATTATCGCAATCAAACCTCACTCGATCAATTAAAATGGCTATTAAAATTCGATTCAAATACTGTATGCAATTATAAATTTCTAATTGTAGGCGCGGAAAGCCCTTGACTACTCCACGATCGAATTCACCGAAAACACCCAAACGAAAGAGCTGAAAACAGCCTTGGACGGTGATAACCTATTGTTGATGAGCTATTACTTCTTTGGTATGATTGGGCTGTTTGTCTGTATTGGTCTTGGATGGGATTTCTGGGTGTATCGGAAGACTACATCTGGCGGTGGCTCGACTCAAGGTATGGATTTATGCAGTTGTCGTCGGTGTTATTTATACTAGAGACCTGTGATCCGTCTGGACGAACTTGGTCAAATAAAAGCTAGTTCGTCTTTACGGATGATCCATCTAGGTGTAGAAATACGGCATTATATTGCCATGCAGTATAGATTGCGTTATCAGACTACTCGTTGGAACAGTCATCAAACATTTATCTTGTTAATCTAGGGTAATTGAACCAATAGCGACATATAGTCTCTTGTTTCTTTAGCGGGCGATGCGGAAATGAGCGAAGGCGCACATGCTGAATTTGATGACGTTGGCCATGGATCACGAGCAAGTGACTTGGTCCCAGGTCATTCTTCACCGAATATGGGGTACAAGATGTCCATTGCTGAAAGCTACGGTACTTCTCCAGCGTCTCAGATGTGATTTGCGTGAGTCTTGCTTGCCAGTTTTCAACTTGAATTTAATTGGAACAAATCTAATGAAATAATTAAGTTTCCACATTGACTGATGCATAATTTATTTAAAAACGTATAAATATTGATTATTGGTTTTAAAAATAGTTGTTTATTATTGATATTTTTGGTCAAACAGACCACGTTTTGCATATTGACTTGGCAATATTTTTCAAAAATAAAATTATTGAGCCATTCAATAATTATAGTATTGAATAATTATTATAATTAGACAATCCAATTAGTTTTATTATCAAATCATGTTATCTAATTATCGTGTAAAATAAAGTTTTCCCAAAATAATTCTCAGACTTGTTGCGGCAAAAGAAATTTAAGCACAACGTTGTTTCCATCTTGTTACAAGGTTGTTTCAGCAGGCCAATGCCATTGTTAACAACTTGCAACCATGCCAGATAACTCTACAGCCAGCCTTATTGCATGTATTACAACACCATCTTTGCAACAGCTTGAAATATACTGTAATTCAGAACGCGTTCTTACAACTATTGACAACTTGTTGCAATGTTGTTGTGAATCCTCTTGTCAAAAAGATGCATAATTTCTCGAATTCTTCAGTGTTTTGACAGATTTTCTGACTGCTATTCGACATTAATTTTATTGCAAGCAGAACTATTGACAGCACCCTAAGTCTCTCATTGTACAATATGCTGTGTCACTGTTATTCTAGAATCTTCGTCACCGCGGCTATACCGTCGCTAGTTGAGACCGCTAAGTATACTGCACACAATAGCTGCCCTAATATAATTGTCTGCGTTTTGTTTCACACCGCAATAGGCGTTGTATATACATTATACAATATGAAGCAACAATTACACTCACCCGCATTTCCAAATGGCTGTGTCGAAAACCATCTCTCTGTTAGCGGTTCTAACTGTCTTGTTAAAAAACGTCCACGGCGCTTCGCTATGCCCTGCGAAGCAACAAGATGGCTCCGTTTGCCCGCGTTCAAAACGCATCAAGATTCATTTCAAGCCATACTATGAAATATTCTTCGATAAAACGGGCTCTATGGACAGCCTGTATCCTAGTATACTCCGTAATGCGACCGCGCTGTGTTGTAATACCAGCATTCTAGATTTTATTCCAGTGAACAGCTCACACAAGGACATCGAGGAACTGATCCAAGATGAGAGCTGCGCGAAAGTGGAGCGAAATGATTCCAGTTTGAGTTTCTTCTTCCCAGTCTTTGTTAAAAGCGGAAAGAAGGTTGCTTTTGACGAGGAATTTCAGTTTCTCCAGCTTGTAAAATCGCCAGGGCCTGTTATTATGATGTTAACTTCGGAAAAACAGAAGATGAAAGTCACTGCATCTGTTGCTGTTCGAGAGTCATGGCCACTGTTTGTCTTGATTTTATGTTTGTCCGCGACTGTTGGCCTCCTTGGTTGGCTTTTGGTATGTATATTCTCATTATATTGCTCGGTTTCACTAAGCGCTAGATGGTCGTCAGCCTGCTGTTATCAGAGAGTCTTTTCATTCCATGTAGTAATCTTGTATTTGGTGGTAGAATTCCTAAAGATGTGGTTCCTTTAAGTGTCAACATTTTCGAAGTTCGCCACCATTTGCAGCCCCTGTAACGCTGACTGAAACCAACTAAGAATATTTTCAAGTAAGATTATTGAACGGTAACGAATTTGTAATGAACATAATGTTTATTGTGATTGCAGAAAAGCTAGCACCAGATAAGATACTTCATTTCAAAAGGGTTGCATTTCTATAAATGTCTGGTTAACACGCTATATACTCAGGTAAAACTCGCTAAATTTGAGCTACTTTTTGGACCACAGGTATCAACCTCAGTCGATACAGGAAACGATCTATTTATATAAGTACCTAAACAAACGCTCTCATTTCTTTTTAAGGAACGAGTGTTTGCTCCGGATCCGACAAGTAGCTCAGAATTGGTGAGATTTATAATTGCCTTTAAAATGTATTTAACAGACCAGAACAGACAAGCTTTTATACTGCACTGCATTAATTAAGCCGCTGGCGTTGACACTATCAAAGTTTATATTATCGCAGTAGGAATTTTGCATAGGTAAATTTACCAATGTAAGCTAGTTCCAACTTCTAAGTTTCGAAGGATTTGTAAGAAATGTTTGAGGAAACTGGCTCGTGTTTAATACCGAGTCAGTTTCCTCGAACATTTCTTACAAATCCTTCAAAACTTACAATTTACCCATGCAAAATTCCTATTGTGATCACAGAAACTTTGATAGTATGACCAACCTTCAGGGGTTCCGCACAGTATGACTTTGATTGCTTATTGTGATTTCTCGCACGAACCAAAATCATGGAGAGGAATTCACGGCATGAAAAAGCAAACAGTAAAAAAACATTGTCTGAACCATCCATCATATTTTGTCATTTTGTCAAAAACATCGGCATTTTGTTCGAACCGTATTGTGTCGGTACAGTATTCGTAGCCAGCTTTTGGTGACAGTTTTAGTTGCGAAATGTAATTAAAATGATAGACAATAGACTTCTAAATTAGTTTTTGTTTGTGGTCTTGCATGCTTAAATACAATAAAAAGCCGCATTTGGATAAACAAAGTGTTTTTCCATTTAGCGTCTAGTTTATTGAAGCGCCTACATGATACTCTTTGTGTCAGGTCGTGTTTTGTTACAGTAAAAAGTTATTACGGACAATGAAGACACTCCCATTAGTTTTGGAGTTCATTTAGGGCTTTGTAGCAATTAAACAACACCTCTCAAGTACAACACTATTACAAAGAATGAACATTATTTTCTCACTCTGGAAACTGCAGGTTTACCACCTTCTGCTGTACGATAGTGCTTTGTGAAATTAACCTGTTCCAATAATTTTACATTCCTTTTTATTCCAGGATCATTCCAGCAATCCCTCACAGTTTTCGTCTTGGTTTTACAAAGGAGCATGGGAAGGCTTTTGGTGGGCTATGGTTACTATAACAACAGTTGGGTGAGTGATATGTCATTGCTCTATCAGTTCTAAACTGTTCTCTCCAGAGATCCAGTAAGAGTCATCTCTTATTGATCCAGTGTTACTACAGGAGGAAACCTAAACTAAACTAACTTTATTTATACTGGATAGCTCTATCAGTTCTAAACTGTTCTTCCTAGAGGTTCAGTAAGGATCATCTCTTATTGATCTAGTGTTACTACAGGAGGAAACCTAAACTAAACTAACTTTGTTTATACTGGATAACTCTATCAGTTCTAAACTGTTCTTCCTAGAGATCTAGTAAGGATCATCTCTTATTGATTTAGTGTTACTAAACTAACTTTATTTATACTGGATAACTCTATCAGTTGTAAACTGTTCTTCCTAGAGGTCCAGTAAGGGTTATGTCTTATTGATCCAGTGCTACTACAGGAGGAAACCTAAACTAAACTAACTTTCGTTTAGATACGGTGACAAGGTACCGGTGGCATTTTTCTCTCGTGTTTTGACGATACTCTGGTTGTTCTGTGGTGCAATCATTCTGTCATTGTTCACAGCCAATGTGACTTCTGTCTTAACTTCCAATCAGATGGATAACACGAAGAATCTTATTGGTACTAGGGTGAGTTGAATTTTGAGAAAAGCGTTTGATCGAGTAGTGATTATAACAGTGATGATGATGGTGATGGTTCTGATGATGATGATGATGATGATGATGATGATGATGATGATGATGATGATGATGGTTCTGGTTCTGATGATGATGATGATGATGATGGTGATGATGATGATGATGATGATAATGATGATGATGATGATGATGATGATGATGATGACAGTTTTCTATCTCTTTCAGATTGCAGTATTAAACAGCAAGCATTATTTTGAGTCAAATTTGAATATTGGAGGCACCATTGAAGGTACATATTTACTTCAACAGTGATATATCACTCAGCAGAGAGAGGTATTAATCTTCAAATGTGGTTGTCCATTTACTTTCAGAATTTAATTCTCAAAATGAGATGTTTGCTCGGCTTCAAGATTTGAGCGTGGATCGTGTTTTGATTCCAAATTATTTCGATATTGTTCGTTTGGAAGAAAGCATGCCAGCGATGAAGTTCTTCAGTGTTGTAGATGTGATCCATGAGCCATTCCGTACTGGCCTGGCACTCGTCAACAAACAGAGCACCGAGAACAAAGCTTTTGTTTCATGCCTTCAAAAGAAAGTCAAGTTATTTCATACGGTACGGAATATAAGAACTGATAGAGCTATCCAGTATAAATAAAGTTAGTTTAGTTTAGGTTTCCTCCTGTAGTAACACTGGATCAATAAGAGATGATTCTTACTGGACCTCTAGGAATAACAGTTTGGAACTGATAGAGCTATCCAGTATAAATAAAGTTAGTTTAGTTTAGGTTTCCTCCTGTAGTAACACTGGATCAATAAGAGATAATCTTTACTGGACCTCTAGGAAGAACAGTTTAGAATTGATAGAGCTATCCAGTATAAATAAAGTTAGTTTAGTTTAGGTTTCCTCCTGTAGTAACACTGGATCAATACGAGATGATTCTTACTGGACCTCTAGGGAGAACAGTTTAGAACTGATAGAGCTATCCAGTATAAATAAAGTTAGTTTAGTTTAGGTTTCCTCCTGTAGTAACACTGAATCAATAAGAGATGATCCTTACTGGACGTCAAGGAAGAACAATTTAGAACTGATAAGGGTATTCAGTATAAATAAAGTTCGTTTAGTTTAGGTTTTCTCCTGTAGTAACACTCGGTCAATAAGAGATGACTCTTACTGGACCTTTAGGAAGATCAGTTTTGAAGTGATTGAGCTATCCAGCGTAAATGAAGTTAATTTTTCAATCGCAGGTTCCGTCAAAAGACGCAATTACCAACAACCAAGACTCGCTGCACAGAACATCAATGCTGTTTGAACACGATATCCTATTGATAATCTATTACAACCTCCTAGCAATTGCTGTTATCGCTGGAATTGGTGTAGTCCTCGATCTGTTTAGATGCTTTCGAGCCGGAAAGAAAAGATTGGATTCCAATGACAGAGAAGGTACTAAAAAAGCAGGGACATTCGCGAAGCCATCAACATTGGGGGTGGGGGTGGGGGGGGGGGTGTCGTCATGTTTTGACCAACATTTCCTAGGATTTTGACCAAGTCGTACAAATTTTCCCCGAAAATGTTGTCGTCAGGGGAGGTCAAAATAATTTTCCGGACTAACATAATTAACATATAAGCATATTCAATATTTTTCGACCAAGATAAGCAAGGCTTCCAATTTTTTCACCGCAAACATAACAAAAGCTTTAAAATTGTTAAAATTGCGAACCATTTCAGAACTTTCACTCTCTTTGGGCAACCTCGACCATCTTTTATCTCAAACTTTGACCAACTTTTTCCGAGATTTACCTTCAATTTTAAGCAAATATCAGTTCCATTTTGACCAACGTTTGAATTATTGGGGGGGTGTTACACCCCCCACACACACCCCTATAGCGACGTCCCTGTAAAAAAGTAGAACCCACAAAGGACCTTGTTCGAAACGTCGGCGATTTGTCACCACCTACCCTGGCACAAATCTTTCTACCTAAAGTAGCTCAAATTGTTTTTCTAACCCAGACACTGTCAGCATTTTCGGTGGGAGGAAGTACCCGAAGAAAAGCCACAACATTCGATAGAGCGTTGACTCACATAAATTCTGGTTTCCATTTGGTCGTAAAGATTGAGTCACGATCTTTCTCATCAGCTGAAAAACAATATTTTAGAACTGATGTTTTTGATGTTACTGCCAGTGACGAGTGTGTATCTACAACGGGCAGGCTGAAAAGTTAGCCTAACCACGGTGGGAATCGATCCCGCGACCTTTGGGATACTAGTCCAATGCTCTGCCAACTGAGCTACGAGGTCAAGTCTGTTCGAGTCTGTGGTACTTCGGAACAGTAAGTCTCGGTACCAATGTATTCTATGATCTAATCTGGCATTTTGCTTTGTTTAGAGACAGAGTTAAGTCCTTTTGATGAACGGGAAGCAGACGTGTAATCATCAGGAATATACAGTCGTTGGGTGCAAGTAAGACGGCGCGAGATACATCGGGTGATAGGCCAGCGAGTCATGTCATGAAACCTTCCCAAGTCAAATTCCTGATCGTGTGTGGAATGTAGTATACCTATTAATCGTGGACAAAATAGATGGGATATTGATGTCGGCCCAACAAATCGCAGCATGTAAATGAACCCGTTATGTCCAATATTGTAACAAGCTATTGTAACATATAGTTATAGAAAACGCCTCAAATGGTATAAAATGGCTAACACAGTTTGTAAACAGGTTATATCATATATAAATATATATATTATGCATGAAATTATTGCTGTGGCATTCTCTTGTTCGGTTGCACGCAAATGTACCTACTTTTTTACGCACTTCTAAATATCATTGTAAAAAAAGTGTGTACATGAAGTATTCAGAAATGAAAAACCGCGGATGACGGGCTCAGATTTAAAAACTGAATTTAATGAGGTTAAAGTTCAAAATATTGCAGCAGCCACGTTGAAAACTTGTAAAAAATACAAATTTTAAAGCAAGTTTCAGCAAAAATCCTTGCGACTATGGCTTTAGCAAGACCTGTATTTATTGTGGCAGCTAAAAGGACTCCTTTTGGTACATTTGGTGGCAAACTACGGAATACGTCAGCCACAATACTTGGCGTTCAGAGCTCAAAGGCTGCGCTCGACAGTGGCTCAATCGACCCGGCTACTGTGGATTCTGTGATATTTGGCAACGTAATACAGGTATATTTAGGGAAATTTAAGTAAATAAACGTTGAAATTTAGCATAGCTTGCTTTCAAAGTCTACATTTTTTACATTTTAGAAAGTTTGTCTGTGACTGTGTGTGAGTTTATATATTTTCAAAAATGTTACATAACATTTTGTGCCTGGCACGAAATTTAACTGCAAGGATGGCTGTTGTTATACTGTTGTTGTTGCTATTGTTGTTGTTGCTGTTGTTTTGTCATTGTTGCTGTTGTTCCTTATGTTGTTGTTGCTGTTGTTGTTGCTATTGTTGTTGTTGTTGTTGTTGTTGTTGTTGTTGTTGTTGTTGTTGTTGTTGTTGCTGTTGTTGTTGCTGTTGTTGCTGCTGTTCATGTTGTTGTTGCTGTTATTGTTGCTGTTGTTGTTGCTATTGTCATTGCTGTTGTTAATTGCTGTTGTTGTTGCTGTTGTTTTGTCATTGTTGTTGTTGCAGCTGTTATTGTTTTGTCATTGTTGTTGTTGTTGTTGTTGTTTTGTCATTGTTGTTGTTGTTTTGTCGTTGTTGTTGTTGTTTTGTCATTGTTGTTGTTGTTTTGTCATTGTTGTTGTTGTTGTTTTGTCATTGTCATTGTTGTTGTTGTTTTGTCATTGTTGTTGTTGTTGTCTTGTCATTGTTGTTGTTGTTGTTGTTGTTGTTGTTGTTGTTGTTGTTGTCTTGTCATTGTTGTCGTTGTCGTTGTCGTTGTCGTTGTCGTTGTCGTTGTCGTTGTTGCATATTTTATTCTCCATGTTTGGAACCCATGAGTAATTTCTAAGCATCATTTTAGTCTGCGTCAGATGGCATCTACGTCGCACGACACATTGGACTGCATTCCCAAGTTCCGATAGCATCAACAGCATTGACTGTCAATAGATTGTGCGGTTCTGGTTTCCAAGCAATAGTCAATGCTGCCCAGGTACTGTACAGTTAATTTAAATCTTACAGTAACTTAAATGAAAAGAGAGAGAAAATATGTTTGCAGCACAGGAAAAATAATTATCTTCCTGGAAGCACAACCTGGAGACAAAAATTTCCCGCAGACCAACAGAGTATTTTTGTGCTAAATCTGCATGTGCATAAATATATAGTGTTCTAGCTGACCATGGTTTTAAATTCGAGGAATAATGTCTGTCAATCATATGTTGTTGCGCCCATAGTGGGACATGGGTGTTAAGGTTTCCTTCAAATTTTCAATAGCAAATCTTCATTCAAATGAATTTTCTGCAGCTGTTAAACTTTTCCTGCGAACAGTGCTCGCCTATTTTTCTACCCCTATACATTTGCTTCATTCTGTTCACCAGGAAATTGTGGTTGGTGACAGTGACGTAGTTCTGGCTGGAGGCACAGAAAACATGAGTCAAGCACCATATGCTGTGAGAGATATCAGATGGGGGACAAGATTTGGTACAGATTTAAAGGTAATTGTCTTGTATACAGCTTGCAGTGTTGACCAGTGCATGTACCTGTCTGATGGGTGGTGTATCCTGAAATATATAGTTGTTTGATTATAATTTCTATTATAGAGCTATCCAGTATAAATAAAGTTAGTTTATTTTAGGTTTCCTCCTGTAGTAACACTGGATCAATAAGAGATGATTCTTACTGAACCTCTAGGAAGAACAGTTTAGAACTGATAGAGCTATCCAGTATAAATAAAGTTAGTTTATTTTAGGTTTCCTCCTGTAGTAACACTGGATCAATAAGAGATGACTCTTACTGGACCTCTAGGAAGAACAGTTTAGAACTGATAGAGCTATCCAGTATAAATAAAGTTAGTTTATTTTAGGTTTCCTTTTGTAGTAACACTGGATCAATAAGAGATGATCCTTACTGCACCTCTAGGAAGAACAGTTTAGAACTGATAGAACTATCCAGTATAAATAAAGTTAGTTTAGTTTAGGTTTCCTCCTGTAGTAACACTGGATCAATAAGAGATGATCTTACTGGACCTCTAGGAGGAACAGTTTAAAACTGATAGAACTATCCAGTATAAATAAAGTTAGTTTAGTTTAGGTTTCCTCCTGTGGTAACACTGGATCAATAAGAGATGATCCTTACTGGACCTCTAGGAAGAACAGTTTAGAACTGATAGAACTATCCAGTATAAATAA